GTTTTGAAAATGGAGCTGAAAGATACTGAATTGTATGGAATCTCTTTGGTTTTCTTTCTTTCTTTCTTTCTTTCTTTCTTTCTTTCTTTCTTTTTTGCCACTCTATAAAAGAATCATCAACCTTGTATAATAGAAATAACTATTTTGTCTCCTACTGTCTTCCATAATGTCAAACCAATGTAAAGTATTCAGTCCAATAAAAAGAACTGAGAAAGGGATACTAAGACCAAGATAATCAGATAAGACACATTGTGTTGTTGAAGGCTTTCATGGCTGGAATCACTGGGTTGCTGTGAGTTTTCCAGGCTGTATGGCAATGTTCCAGAAGCATTCTCTCCTAATGTTTCACTCACATCTGCAGAGTAATTCAACCAAAGAAGTCAGCTATAGCAGAGTACTTGGTGAACCAAGGACACAGCATATTATTTGAGAACACAGAAATACTGGATTACTCTAACAACCATCATGTCAGACTACACAGAGAAGCCACTGAAATCCACAAGCATGTGGAAAATTTCAACAGAAAGGAGGAAACCATGATAATGAACAAAATTTGGCTACCAGTATTTTAAAACCCTAAAATCAGGAGAGTAAACAAAGAACAACACTCAGAAAACAGGGGAGTTTCAGAAAGGAAACAATCAGGGCCAGGTAACAGCTCTCAACAAGGGATTCCCCCTGGAAGGAAGCAGCCAGTCTTTGAAGCTGCCAGGCTATTCAATGTTAATCAAGCTGGCCAATTACAACATTCACACTTGCCTCCAACAGGCAAGAGTTCTTTCTCCCACCCTGGACATTCAACAGATACATAAACCCCACTAGCTCAGTTTCCAACAGACCTCACAACCTCTGAGGATGCCTGCCACAGATGTGAGCAAAATGTCAGAAGAATGCTTCTGGAACATGGCCACACAGCCCTGAAAACTCACAGCAACCTATGACATATTGTCTTGCATAAAAGTCATCCTGTTATAAAACATTTAGGAAAGAAACTAACTAAATAAATATATCAACACCGTATTTTATCAGTCCTTCTAAAATAAAATGTCCCAAAATCTATTTTTATTTCTATTTTCAATTCACTCCTTTGTGGGGGGGGGGCAGGTTTTCTTCTTCAGTTCTGAAGCTTTTTAAAGACATGGTTAGAATGGGAAAGCCGAGGGAAGGGGAAGGTTGGACTTTCCCATGCTAACATTCTCTGACCTCATACCCTCTTAGATCAGGTCCTCTCATATCTTCATGAAAAAGAATGAAAAGGGATTCCCTAGTGCTGAGTGACAGAAACCAGTAAAGAGTGGAGCAGAATATTAAGCATAACAAGATTGTTAAATTTTTACTGCAATCTGTAGAAAAACGGAGATATCTTTGTAAAAGAGAATTTCTCCCATGGCAGCCTTGTTGCTAAGCCTCTAATTTTTTAGTTACTTTCTTGTTAGTCATAAGAAGAGCCCTGCTGAGGATTAAAAAGCAACCTCACGAAACATTTTGCTGGCTGAAAGGGAAGCAGGCTGCCAGAGGAGAAAGAAAGCCCTATTTTTAAGCTTCACCAGCCTGCTTGGCTTCTGCACTGGTCACAGAGGAAGAGACTTCCCTCCTTTGCCATCCCTTCCTGCTCACTTGCTTGATGAGACTTCCATGCTCATGCCTGCACTGCTTGGAATAGTGGTTAACGCAAGATTGGATCTGGGACAGAGTTTTGGGCTGTTATCCTAAACCTAATACAGGGAAATTAAAGTGTTGCTTATCATGGCAAAAAAGTGGATCAAGAAGACAGCAGCAGGTATATCACAGGGGCATGAGTGGAGATACACTGGCAGATGACTCAGGCTAACAAGGGGAGAGGTGCAGCTAATAACAATTCATGACATGTCCAGAAAATGGGAACACTCAGCCTATCACGAGTACAGTGCACCCTGATGAGAGACAAGACAGTTTAGATCTGTCTAAGTGCGTAAAGGCAAGAGAAACACAGAAGAGAGGGAAGAAGTATGGGATGTGGAAAAAGACTCCCATCACCTCCTCCTCCAGTAAGGCGTGTGGTTTTAAAATCTTCCCTGCTGGCTCATCACTCCATGCACCACCATCGCCTCTCAGCTCGGTGATTTGTATAATGGGACCGTGTATATTTAAAGAGCACGAGCAATACACACTGAGAAAGAGCCTCCGCTATAAATATCCATGTATACAGAGAGGTAGAGGTGGTGCCGAAGCTGCAGTGTCAGATAAAAAAAAGCTTTCTGCATAGTGGGAAATTAACATTTTTAGGTCACATCACTTTGCGGTGCTCCCCATGAGTTTCCTGCCCCCTTGCCATGCTCCATGCCATTCTGCTTCATTGCTTCCTACATACCAGTGAACAATCCTTCAGGTTTGGGCGGTGGAGACCATGCTGGATACACAAGGCACTATCCTGCCATTTCATTTCAATAATAGATTACGGGAGGCTAGGCTAGGCTGCCTTCTCCTACTCTTCCACCTCCTCATTAGCTTTACTACACTTGCTCCATTTAGAAGCCAAGTGCAAATTAATGGAGCACTAATCATCTGCTGAAGAGATATTAATAGCCTGGACCCCCTCCCCACCCCAGACACCTTTCCTCAGCTTTCCCATGCTGTTCCAGAAAGGGGAAAGAAATGAGAAATTAATGGGTTTTGTGCTAAGACTGTACAGAATGTCCCAGGCTTGGGCAACCATTGCAAGGGGCTTAAAATCAAGGCAGGAATTGGCTGGAGGGACTAAGGAAGAGAATTATGGTTTTGCCTTTCACATCCTGAACTTCTCAGCATGTGTGTGTGTGTGTGGGGGGGGGGGGGGGGGGGGGGAGTAAAATCTAACTGAAAGAATCCCAGGGGGAAAAAACAACACTTTATTTACTTTACCATTTTCTTCCCTCATCAATGTGCATTTCAGGGGCCAATGTAAACAAAATTATACATACAATATATTATAATAAATCCACTATATCCTTTCCATATAAATAAACCATTGTCAAATGATGAGGAAACAAAAACAGTCTCAGCAATCTGCCAACAAGTGCACAAGCAGAATAACCTACAGTCAAATTTGAAATGTTGTGACACATAGAAGCTTTTTAACTCGTGGCACCTAAAACTATACAACATTGGTGTCAGTCACATCACTTGCAGAAAAAAGCATTTGAGAGGGTGCTGCCACCACTGAAAATTGCCTCTCTTTTGGGTCTTCATGATGCACTTTTCTTACAGATAACAACTGGAAAGGCATCTCTTGTGATCTTAATATGTCGGCAGAATTATTTATTATTATTTATTTACTGCATTTCCATGCTGCCTTTCTCAGCTCAGAAGCGACTCAATTGTATGGTGGGAAGTGTACATACTTATGAAATTAGCAGCACCTTAAATTTAGTCCAGGAACTAATTGGATAGTAATGTAATTCTTTCAGAAATGATGTTAACACAGTTATAGTTACTGAAGCCAGAATCCTAGCTGCCAATATTGCACTAACAGAAGCTTCCAAATGGTCTTCATGGGCAGTCCTCCATATAATAAGGTACAATAATCCAGTTATCAAGTCATCAGGATATTAATCTTTGTAGATGGGCAATCCAAGTCTAAAATACACCACAGCTGATGAATCAGCTGAAACGTGAGGAAACCACTGAAAGGAATCAGGATCTCTAGTGACAATTTTGGATCTAAGAGTAGTCCCTGGTTGGACATTTTTTTGTCTTTGGGGGGAGGGGGAGAATGCAACCCCATGCAGAACTTGCTGTATACCAATGATACTTGGCATCTTCATCTTCATAGCATCCAATTTCTGTTAGTCCTCATCTGATCTATTACCCTCTAGACAGAAACTTAGCAACTCCACAGGCTTCCCTGGTCAGGACAACATTGGAAAACTGAGCTGGGATTTCATTCCAAAATCTCCAGGAACTTTGTATAGATATCAAAGAGGATAGAGGAGAAGACAGAACCTCATAGGCAACTGGAATTCCCCTCAAAGCTCCTGTCTGAAATTGAAGAGATGAATTTGAGTCTGAAGGTATGACCCGGTCACTGTAACCTCAGCATCACTATGTCACAGAAAACCATCTGGAGTTGACTCATCACCCTTTGAAAAAATTGCCCCAAAAGGTTGACTGATGAGTTCTTAATGAGGATGTTACCTAATTGAGCCTTCAGCATGTTACCTAATTGAGCCTTCTCCTATGTTCATATAAACATTTGGCACAAAACATAGAAAGCAAGGAAACTTTGCAGTAGCCTCAGTAGCCTCAGATTCCAAATGTTGTCTGGAAAAAAATGTTCCTAAAGATAGATGGCCATGTGCTTTAAACTAAGAACAGGCAAATCCAGATGGCCCATGGACCCACCATGGTCTTCATCAATTCTCTTCGATAAAATGGAATATGGCTGGAATGTCACATTTAATTCCTCCAAAAAGATGTGTGTGTTTGGAGGCACATTTTGTGCAGAGAGTTTTGTTCTCTGGAGGATTCTAGGAGCCCAGTTGTTATGTGGGTTTTTCAATGGGACAATGGTTTAAGAACTGTCAACAAATGACCTTGGGATCTGCATGCAGGCTACATGACTTCAGATTATGAGTGAGACATCATTTCTTTGCTTCGTCTATCTAAAGAGGAGCAATATTTTGCATATTGAGTAGATTCTAATAGTTTTCTTCCACACAAATGTAATGAAAGCCTGTTTAAAATGTTGCCTCCAGAACTCCTCAAAGCAGGAGACTATATTTCTAGTTGCTCCTAGTGTTTTCGATTCATACTAGTGCTTTTGATTCAAACATTAATTCTGCTACAGGTAGCTGTTATTTTTCTGAAAAGGAATAAACTCACATCAGATGTTTCTACTCCTCTTTAGACTACATTTCTTCCTTCAAGTGGACCACCCTAAAAATGACAGTGACCCCACAGCTAAGGGGAAGATGCCTGTGGGAGAAAGGTATCCTTGAGAACTAACTTTACAGAGTCACAGGAAATCCCACAGTGTCAAATACCTGAAAAAGCTCTGAGTCGTCTGTGCTGTACTGGCTGGACTCTGTTTCGGAGCGCCCACAGTCCCACTGCAACTCACTGAAGCAATTCGTTGAGTCAAAGTCACTGGCATCCAACTGGGACAAATCAATCTCTGGGAAGTCAGAATAAAGGTGCTCCTCACCAGACACTTCATGCTGCAGAGGAAAAAAAAAGATGAGGTTGTGAGTGCAGCCATTTTAGGAGCTGCAAATCCTTTGATACTTGTGACTGAATAGCACACATGCCTTCATGGGATATAGCCCAGACATGGATGTCTTTGGGTGCCAAATGTTACCCAACTCATTTAATGTTGGAAGCCTAAACAGTGATCTCTTCTCTAGAGCAAAGTAGACTCTATACTGTTTCTGCATGATGAGGCTTCAAGCTCCCCAAATGCAACACTTCCATGTTTGTTTATTTCAGAATTTTTAACCTGCTCTTCGGTTTCTCCAGAGCAACTTTGAAAACAAAATACAATCAATACAAATAGAAAGAACAAAAACAAAACTATAATGAATAAAAACAACAGATATAACTGCATCTGATTCTCAGCTGCCAGGAAAATACAACTAACAACAGTGTAGAGTAAGTTATAATCTAAATATAAGGATGTATATCATAAGGCCTTTCAGATACTATTGGACTACAACTCCCAACAGCCCCAGTCCCATTGAGAAATGCTGGGAGCTACACTTTAAGAAAAGCAGCCACATGATTCCCACTCCTAATCTAAAGAAATAAATCCAATGCAGTTGAGTTCATATATTCAAATCAGTTGGGAAGCTTGTGTCAACCTTTCAATGTCACATGTACAAATACAATGCTTATTTCGTTTACTGAGTTACCTATTTAGTTAGACCTATTGTCATTAAAAGCAGTGAGGATTCGGTAATATTTGGAAAAGATTTGAATTTTAGGGAACCTGACTTTTTGGCTGCCAAGAATAAAATTATTTGAAATTAAAACTGGGCTGGCGGATCTTTTATTTTTAGGAAAATCTGGATTTTTGAATGTATAATATTCACTTCTGTAGAAGATATGCTGAAAGATAGCTGTGTTCTGAACTGAGGTTTTTCACTCGTCCTCTAAGCCATCAAACTAACCATGTTAGGGTGCTGGATTTTTTCTTTCCCCATTACCAAACAAAACTCTAGAATAAAACGATCCCTTTCTACTAAATATTTCTATTCAGTATCTAATGTTTCCAGTTGAGAATGGCATTCTGTAATTGGCCTGCTCTCACAAGTATGCTTTGGGTTTTGCATTTCCTGTATCCATGTGATAATATCCTATTATGCGAGTTCAAAGATTTGGATTTCTATGCTCTTGAAAATATCACTCCCACTGTTTTCCAGTGTGAGGGAGGATAGGCTCCCAGGAGGACTAACCTTTTGTTTTGTTTCCCTGTGGCAAAAAGAAAGGGGTGGGAAACAGGGAAGGAAAAATGCAGTAGAAGAAGCCTGATAATGTGCATCTTTGATATCCATTATCTCTTCATAGCAACGGGAAGATACCAGTGCACCAGTTTACTTAGATTCAATGTCCTAATTTCTAGTTTCAGTTTTTAACATTCAAAATGGTTAACTCCAGTAACCTATTTATAAATTAACCATAATTTTAAGGATTTTAGTTTTTCATAGAATCAAAGAGTTGGACCAGACAGGGCCATCCAGTCCAACCCCCTGCCATGCGCAACACACAATCAAAGCTGGGACTGGCACTTTTTTTAGTAGGCCATCAAAAGAAGTTGATTAGATTATTGAAAGACTAAAACACCTTTCTCAAGGCTCTTGCTTTCATTTGTCACTAGCAATTGCTCTCCTAGAAGACTGCAGCTGAGGGAGAAGAGGCAAAGTTGTACCAAAGACCAGCTCCACCATGATTTCTCCTCTTTCAATTGTTTCCAGCTGATTACTACCAACATAACTATTTCATTTAAAGAACATTTGCTGTTTTGCCCTCTCTTTCCCACTCATCAGCAAAAAATGAGGGGCACCAGCTTGGTCGAGGTTAGAGTAGTGGTGGGCAAATGTGCCAGATTTAGGGAGGCACTTTTCCCCTTTCTATAGAACTTTTCAAAATGGCTCCCCCCCCCAAAAAAAAAAAGAACCAACATACCTCGGACTTCTACGCTTCTGGGACTCTTCCACACTACACAATGATAGCATTATGGTTCCACCTTAACTGTCATGGCTGCATCCTGTGGAATCCATGGTTGTAATTTGGTCAGAAGCACCAGAGGAGCTCCCTAGCTGAGAATTCTAAATACTCCTCCATAAACTACACATCCCAGGATTCCATAAAATCCTGAGATGGCAACAAAAGTCAATTCATATAATGTGGAAGTGACCCTGGTTTTAAAAATGCTTTTTAAATATTAAATAATGCAAGGGGAAAATAAAATTTGAGGTTTTGCTCCCATAGAATTTTGGAAGATGGAATTTTTTATTTAGGGAGGAAGAAGGGAAGTCTGAGTAGTTTGGAAAACTCATGATTTTTAAAAATATATATATCCCTGAAAGTTACAGGTTTCCATAGGTTTGGACGTTGTTCCCCATCATCCCCAAGGGAACTGATGCTCTCCTTAGGTGAGGGTAAGCTCTGCAGCTCACACACCTCAAGCCCTGCCAGAGCAGCTGCATGGATTCTTAAGCTATTCCAGCCTCTGGTGACGTAATGCAGACATCCAGAGATTATCCTACTGCCCTGATAGTCATCAATTAGGAAGAGGCTTATAGGGTACACCAGACAGTCACGAATCTCGTCAGGCTCTAGAAAAAAGTCGTGAATGCATTTTGGTGGCTTCTTTTGGCACAATTGACAAGCTAGCTTCCCTTCCCTTTACCCCACACTCTGTAGCAGTATTTATTTAGCCTTCCTTCCCTTTCCTAGGCCTTCTACCTCCAGCTTCATCCATCATCTAAACTTAGCCCTGCCACATTTGTGGCATCAAAAAAAGCAGACCTTTCCAGCATAGCTATTTCCAAATACCCGTTGACAATCTCTCCTTATAGAAACAAGTTTCTCCAGACACCAATTCAATAACGGCTCTAACAATGCATTGTATTCTTCCCCTGCTCCTCAAACCCAGCCAAAATGTGAGCATAATAGAGCAGAATCAATGGCTGGCGCATGTAAGGCAATCTAAGCTCTAAGAACAGAGCTAAAAATATCCAGTCAATCACACAGAACAGCTGAGACCCGGCCCCATTTCCAAGGCGTACGCAATTGCATTAAACTCCCCACACGGATGGTGAGAGCAAGTGGCCAGGAAGGACACGGTAATGCTGCACTGCACCATTATGGCTAAGCCTACCAGAGGTCACAGGCATCCTAGAGGTGCTGCCTTCAGGCATCCAGATGGAATACAACGTGGACAGGGACAAAACCAGTTTAATGCTAAGGCAAGGTCTGCTTAGACCAGGGTTTACAGGCAATTCTGACATTTGACAATGGTGGTTTCTAAACATTTTACCTGGTATGGGTTAACATCCCCTTCCTGACATCAAGAATTTTGTTAGCCATTATTAACCCGAAGCCTAAAATTTGTCACAGTGATTTTTTTTACATTTTAATGCTCATCTTTCAACATGTTCTTTCTTGTAGGTGTTCAAGGCAAGCTGCGAAGGGTTATCCCTTGTCATTCTTCAAATAATCTTGTAAAGTACATTAAATGGACTGAATTCAATGAAATAATTGTTTAGTCTGGAAAATCAACATGGAAAGAGATCTTGCAGCACTATAGAGCAGTATTGAGAATCAAGGGTGACAGCAAAAAGATTGGGCACATCTACACTGTAGAATTGGTGCAGTTTTACACCACTTCAATGGCCTTGGCTGAATATTATGGAATCATGAAAGCTGTAGTTTGGTGAGAAACAACACTATTTGGCAGAAAGGGATGAAGACCTTGTAAAGCTATAGCTCCCACAAGCCCTGGAAATTAAAGCCACGTCTAACTGCATTAATTCTACAGTGTACATGCACCCTAAGTCTATGTCCTCAGGTGCATTTATGAAAGTTTATGATACCAACCTCACCTTAGTTTCTAAGGGGCTAGAAAATCCCATAGCATATTAAACTGGTTGACACTGAAGTACCCAGCAATCTTGAGGGTAGACCAGAGATCTGATTCCAGACCACCTCAGTCCATGTTTATCCCACACTCTGGAAAACTAAACATATCTATTTGACAGCTTTGAATACTGAGGTTCTCTTGTTCTCTACAGATTCAAAAAGCCTGTGGTTAAGAAAACCACAGTTCCAATTGTAAAATTCTGTTCCCAACTTTAGGAGTATTAATGAAGAAAGATAATGTTCAGTTCTATCTTTCTGAGACAACAAATCAACCGCAGGCAAGTAACCACAGAGCTGGTAGATGATGATGAACACTTTGTCTTTATAATGACCAGGAGTAACATTCCAAACACTAACCAGGAAATGAAAATGCATAAAGTCCCTTTTATGTGATGACCCGTTGATCGGTGGGAGCTTCCTAACAATGAGTAAAGCAAATTCATGTATTTTTCATTTAGCTCTCAGATCACAAGATCAACTGAGCATTTGAGAAGCCGTAATGAGAGAACAACATCCAAGGCATGGCTTTGAAGTTTTCTAAATATTCTCTCTAGAACCCAGCAATCAATTTTCACAAGAAACGAAAGAGACAGTATTTCTCCCACCCTGCCCCCGGCCACTCTATTTTCTCTTTATTAACTGGGATAATCTCAGATTATAGAGCTTGTTTCCCGCGGGAATGGGACTTTATGTCTTATCTGTGTTTTTCCAATTTAGTTTGGGACACAGTGTCCCATAACAGTAAACTGCCGATCCCTCTCCTCTTGTGTACAATCATCAGGTGAAAGAAACGGCGACTGAAAAGCAGGTTACAGAGGAAAGGTTCCAAGCAAAGGTTCAATCTACTGGCAGACAAAGGGCTTGGAGGCAGAGAGAAAGGGAAGGTAGTCCCAAAGTATGTTACAAGACAAACTTTACAACATCTGTCTAATGTGGGAAATGATGTCACCTTTCTGTTGAAAATAATGAGGATTCTTTCAGTTGCAGGATGGGGAACAGTGACATTTTTCTGGATTACTGTGAAGAGAAGGGTGAATGGTTATGTCTTCACTGGAATTAAAATAGCCCTGATGCCTTA